TTTTTTTTTTTCTCCTCCCCAAAGCCTAGTCTTTTATCTCCAAACCGGGATAGTAAACTCTCGAGCGACGTTTTTCGGCAATTGGGGAGATTTCCGATGGTGGACTCCATCGCCTTCTCCCCATCGCACAATTCTCGGTCGCGATTATGACGAGGCCGCCGAAGCCGAAGCCTGGTGGGAAGCCTTCAATTGTGAAAGAAGAGATAAATCGAAGCATGTTGCCCAGGATTTTCTCCAACAAGTCGAAAAGAATCAGGTTGCCCAGAATTTTCTCCAACAAGCCTTCAACCGTGAAAGAAGCGAGAAATCGAAGCAGGTTGCCCAAGATTTCCTCCAACCGTAAAAAATAGGTCTCCAGATTCCGATTTTGAGGACGAATTTCAAATTGTAAATGCAAAATTTTTAATTTTTATATGTTAAGTATATTGTATGTGTATAATTCATTTTGTATTAAATAGTTTCGAAGCTGTTATTATATCAATAACAATAGGTTGTATATGTTCATTATATGTAATGTATATGTGACATGTTTTTTGTGCTGTGGGATTTTTTTGGAGCAACTGTGTATTAACCAATATCTGTATTGGGTATGCTAATAGTTTATGATATATATATATATATAGAGAGAGAGAGAGAGAGAGTGAGAGAGAGAGAGAGAGAGAAAGGATCATATGAGAATGACTCTTAATGCGAGAAATGAGAATGAGTCTGGATTATTGGATCCATCAAATTAATGGTCATGATCAAGTCAAAATTTAATATGTAACAGTCAAACAGGATGACATACTTGTAAATAATAGTTTATACCATGGTCAAATTTAACCATTATACTACTAAATGGGGGTAAATAAGACATGATACAATATTAGTGGACCCCACCACTAACCAACCCACCCTCTCTCACGCACAAACACGCACAACACATACCTACACACACAAAACACCCGCTCACACACACATATGAAACACACACAAACACAATCAAGGTCGACGGAGCCGCCGCCGGACCTCAGTCGCGCTATCGCCGTCGGACCTCGGTTGCGCCACCATTCACGTCACTGCCGTAACCAGCAAACCGCCATTGATTTGAAGAACTATCCGATTCCGGCGCTGAACACGGCCGGTGTGGTCGACATCTCCCGGCGGGCGTTTATCACAGTCCCGCCGTCGCGTCGCGTAGCCCTCGCCGTCGTTCCCCTCCCCCGCACAAATGAGGCGACGATCTGTGAAGAAATGGCAATTCATTTTTTTTCCTTTCCTTTTTTTTTGCAGAGCCGCCGGATGTGGCGGCGTTAGCTGTCGTGGCGAGGAGGATGGTGACCATAAAGGCGGCGACCGAACGTCAGAGTGAGCTCCGGCAAATGTGGACAGAGGTATGTGGACAAAGGTGGCGGTAGAAATGTGGTTTGGATTTGTGGGGTTATATTTTGGGAATTTGATATGATGTAGGGGCTTGATTGCAATATTTTTTAAGATTCATTTGTTTCAATTCAATACTTGAGGCAAATATGCAATTTAATAAAAGTTTAATTAATGCACATTATATTATTTTGTAATCTGTAAATTTAATATACATTCATGTTTAATCTGTAATATAATACATGAATGTATATAATATGTAATTTACTATTTCGATTATTTTTAGTTATTTCAATTCAATACATGAATGTATATAATCTGTAATTTAATATACATTCATGTTTAATATTTAATACTATATATTATGTTTTGATTAAAAAAATAATATTATGCAAACTAAATATATCGTGCAATTTAATAGTTGTTAAAGTGCAATTCTACCAACACTATGGTATACGGTGATTGTCTGTATTGTGCAACAGATCGAACCAACCGAACTGTTGTCCAAAATCAAACTAAAAATAACATAATTAATTGAGTTGTTCGGTTTGGTGAATCAAATTATACTAAATAATCGAAATAATTTGTTATTTATATTAAAATCATATTTGATATGTCAATAACTTTATTTATTATTTTTATATTATTTTTTGGCTGAATTTTTTTTGAGTTCGGTTGGCTTCGATCTCTATTGTGCAGTCTGATAGTCGTTATAAAGTGCAGCGTGCTGTTTTCTAAAGTGCAATGTGTTGTTCAATAAAGTGCAGCGTATTGTTTTTTTAAAGTGCAACGTGTTGTTTAATAAAAACCAGCGTGTTGTTTTATAAAGTGCATCATGATGATGTATAAAGTGGACTACTGTAATTTCAGTACGTTAGTATGCTTGTATTTCGTGTGGATAAATGAATATTATATATATACGTGTTTTAGATTCATGATGTGTGATATTTTTATAAAGTGCAACGATTTATTTTATAAAGTGCAACGTGTTGTTTTATAAAGTGCATTGTGTTGATATATAAAATGCAATACTTTATAAGATTACATATATATTATGTATTTTTGAAATCTAGATTTAATAGATATAATTGTATATCGAATTAACCTAAATAATTGAAATAATTTATTTGTTTCATTATAAAGTATAATTATTATTTTAATACTTTTTAAGTTAAATATGTTATTATTTATTTATTTATCCAATATTTTATTTATTATTTTATTTTAATATCTTATATTTTATATTTTAGTTATTATTCATTGTATATGCATAAAAATATGAAAAATAATTTTTTTTATTAACTTTCAATAATTACGGTTTTTTTTATTAAATGTATACTATACAATCTAATGTATAATACTTTTTTAACAATTTTTATTTCATGTTTTTATTTATTATTTTAATATACATGTATAAAAAAATATAAAGAATAATAGTTTTATAAATGTTTTCTAAAATACAAATTTGACCTAGGTACTAAATTGACATTTAATCAAAATTTACAAAATTGCAATCAAGCCCCTAAGAAATATCTAATTCTCAAAATTGTGAATTCACAGCACTGCACCCAATTCTTCTTCCCCAACCATTGCTATCGGATTTTTTGGTGGTGGTTGTCAATTTCCGGCGTCGACTGACGGCGCCGTCGGAATAACGCGGAAGACGGCGTCAAGACGGACGATGTGGCTGTGGGGAAGGTATAGACGCCGCAGGCGCATCACCACAGTGGCGAGCAGACTGTTGCCGCGGCGAGGCGAGCGGCGGTGGTTGTAGGCGTCGCTGAGTGTTGCGCCGGTGTGAGATGCCGGTTGGAGGCGACGGTTAAAGGCTATGCTCAGCGGACTCACCGACGGGACGATGGGTGGCGGGCTGTGCGTCTTCACGGCTGGCGGGTTGCAGCGGCGCTCCGCGGATGGCCGGTGACTGGCGTGCACCGGTCTGTGGATCTGTTTGGTGAGGTGCGGCGGCGCTCCGCGGAAGGCCACCGGTCTGTGGATCTGTTTGGTGAGGTGTGTGTGTGAGAGAGAGAGAGAGAGAGAGATAAAGAGAGAGAGAGAGAGAGAGAGAGAGAGAGAGAGAGAGAGAGAGAAGGGGGTGGGTGACGGGTGGTATGGGGAAGGTGGAACGTTTTAATTGGGGTGGGCCCATTGATGTGATGGATATTAATTTGGTTTGTGGGTAAATGTTAAAGTTGACTTTTTTATTAGCCATAAGATCATCCGATGTAATGGTTATGATTTATTCTCACTTCTTTCACTAAGCACCATTCTCATGTGAGCACGACCCTATATATATATATATATATCTTGATTGGAGCAACTGTGTATGTGATGTAGGGAAGCGTACGAATGGGAAAGATAAATGAGATACTCTCTCGATAAAACTCACAATATTATTTTTATTCCATAATCAACCCCACTCAAATAACAAAGAAGGAGTCTTTAAATAAGACTACTAAAGCTCTAAACCCCGAAAGTACACATAATCTCGGGCAAGGATTGAACTGCTGCAAAGGCACATGTACACGCCTTCATACGCGTAACCCACACAGCTGAATTAACACAAACATTACCACATCGTTTGCCGCGCGCAAATCTGTAATTACGGCCAAGCATCCCGTTGTTGGGAGACTTCACGATAGACAATCGAAAAATGACCCACCAGTTATTGAGCCTCGGCTTCGGCTCCCAAAAACCATCGTTGGCCAAGATACTCCAAACATCGGGCTTCAACGACGGTATCCCCGTCAAAGGCTCAACTTCTGTAACGTCCCACGCGGGACCCATATTGCTGCAAAGATATGTCTGCGTCACCGGAGGCTCCTCATCGAAAATAGGCGGACCGTCGTACAATGGCCCGTCATCGTCCTCAAAAATTGCACTCTGTTGCTACACATCTTGGTCGTCGTGCACAACAATGAGCTCAATCTCGACGGGCGGAGGCGGCCACTCTCCTGAGGGATCCGCCTCCGAAATGGTCTCCTCGCCGTCTACATCGCCGGGCCACGGTTGTGGAGATCGTCGACGGGGCGCCCTGCCTGGAACGACGAGCGAACACCATAGAGCGGCGACAGAGAAATTAGGGCTAAGAGTGAGAGGCAAGAGAGAGTCTAATATTCTGAACCTAGGGCAAAACGAAAAAAATATTAAAGCAAAAAAAAAAAAAAAATTTAAAACTTCAAAGTTAGCGTAACACAGCTTTGAACACCAATTCAGGAGTCCCCGTAAATTAGGGTTTGTTCTCCCATTTGGAGTTGCCCGAGTTCCTCTTCTGGGATCGTGTTTCTTGATTCCTTTGCTCTGTGATTTCGTTTTCGTCTCCTTCTTGTTATCCTCTTCTTGTTTTTCCTCTTCTCTGTGATTTCGTTTTCGTCTCCTTTTTGTTATCCTCTTCTTGTTTTTAGTTTTTCTTTTTCCTCTCGCTTCCTATGTTAGGGATCTAGTCTAGGTCTTCTATTAGTGGTTTTTCAAGGAGCCTTGGGGTGGGATTAACGGACAGTAGTCTAGAAGCTTGAGATTTGGGAATTTTTGATAGGATGGCGAACGAGATTTTTGAAAAGTTACAGAAATTCCGGCTTTCGACGAAGGAGGAATTGGGGATTTCTTTATCGGAGGAGGATGTGGCCTTGGGAGTAGATGAATGCCAGAATAGTCTCATAGGAAAGTTGTTTGGAGAAAAGAGAGCGAATTTTGTGGGTCTCAAAACCACATTGCTTAACATTTGGAACACCAGGCAGCCATTCTCAATAAAAAATATTGGTTACAATTGCTTCCAATTCATCTTCCAGAATGAAATGGACAAGGATAAGGTGCTGAATGGTAAAACTTGGACTTTCGATGGGCAGTACTTACTGCTCAAAAACTGGAAACCTGATGGAGTAGAGTTCACTGAAGAGGATGAGAAAGTTAAACTCTGGGTTTAGATCCAACACTTACCTCTTCATTGGATGGTACAAGAAACAGGCTTGAAGCTAGGCACACTTC